AGAGAGAGAGAGAGAGAGAGAGAGAGAGAGAGAGAGAGAGAGAGAGAGAGAGAGAGAGAGAGAGAGAGAGAGAGAGAGAGAGAGAGAGAGAGAGAGAGAGAGAGAGAGAGAGAGAGAGAGAGAGAGAGAGAGAGAGAGGAATAAATGCAGAGACAGAGAGGAAATGATTGCGCCTAATATATTGTTCAATGATGGAGATGGATGTATCACGTTATATTTCATTACATAAATTTGCCTAATGCACATCAAGTCAAACAAGAAATTTCCTCCGTTTTCATTTGATGCTGTTCGGGTAACTGCTGCTAGCCGAAGCCACTGGTAGCTTTCTTGGCTCTATATCTGGGATTACCGCAGGCTACTCTAACTAATCCCATCTCTGGTGGTTATAGCCTCTATTTCCATGCGTCTAACACACGGTCTAGGGACCACCCACCGACCCACCAGTGTCATGAAGGCGCCTGTTACCAGGGTCGCCGGAAGAGGAGCAACAGTTCCCCAGAACAGTCGCGCATATACTCCCCAGGGGAGCACGTCGCCGAAAGACGACTGCAAATTAGCGTCATCAATTTTCAGAGCTCGTAAAGAGATCCGGGGTCGCCGCTCCGAACCGCGAAGAGACACTCTATGAAGCTCTGGGTGCTGAGCTGGTTTAGCCAAGTCCGCCCATCCTGTTACTAAAGTTGGTGGAGCGCCGGAATATTGATATGGCAAGGGCCATGGGTGGTGTTATCTATAATTAAACTGCACAGAACTTGAGTAAAATCGTGCTATGTTAACCCGCGCCCCACTGGGGTCTGTGTATAACACGCCCTACTGGGGGGGGGGGGGGCTATTCATAGCCCCCCCCTCCTAACTCCGAAACTACTGGGCCGATCGTCAAAATTCAAACGGCGTCTGATAGCCCCGGAAAAACTGTCGAGCGAAACCTAATTTCATTGACCTCGAGGTCACCGATGACGTCACAGGTCAGGTCAAAGTAAAAATTATTAGCATTTTGGCTTGTTCACATTTTGGGCTCTGGCCGCCGTCTTACAAGTCAGATCAGGCTCATTTTTGGTACACACACTCTTAAACAGATGCTCTAGATACCCTGAGGGTACCAAGCTTTTACTTTGATTTTCAGGTCAAGGTCAGGTCATCACAGGTCACGAAAATATTTTATCATGCGTCGGTCACGTGACACATGTTTTATGGTCCATTTAGGCCATAGATTTCGAATTTGATGTCGTCTGTGTCATTCGAGGTCATTTTGAGTCGAATTTAGCTTAGGTCAGGTCACTTTCAGGTCAAAAAAGGTCAAATTTTGAAGTTGAAATTTTTCAACAAAAAAGGTGTCTATTGGATGCAGTTTGAGCTCAGGAACACGATGGTGCCATTTATATTGGTGTACGATGTCAAATACGTACTGAAAAATTGATTTGAAAAATTAATAATTGTGAATTTTTTGCAATAATGCGTATAACTTGGCCATTTTTGAACATATTTAGCTTAAACTTGCTAGAGTTAGTCATAATCAAGCGTTCTGTCACATATATTCCGTTTTTTTCGAAAAGTCAAAAACTTTTTGAAAAAATATAAAAATACATATTTTGAATATTATTATATCAAATTTTCGAAATTTTCAAAATTTTGAAAATTCGAGATAGTAGTTTGATAGCGCGGTCAATTCTGAGTCCTTTCATGCAAAGAAATTGGATCTAGCTTAAAAACTGAGCTCTTGGGAGCGATTGCCGTGGTTCAATGTTTTGCGTCGAAATCGGCCGAACATGACGTCACTCTGACGTCATTTCCGGCCGACCTATGGTAGCTACGAAGTTCAAATTTTGACACAAGGTGTCAAATTGATGCAGCCAAAGGTACTGTAAGTTTGGCGTCGATCCGTCAAGCGGTTTGGAAGTTATTGCAGAAAAACGGGAGGGGGGGGGCTATAAATAGCCCCCCCAGTGGGGCGCGGGTTAACATAACTAGTACAAATGATGTCCAAAAATGGATTATTGCTTTAACCCGCGCACCGACGGGGGTCTGCGCCAACTTAGTACCGACGGGGGGGGGGGGGGGCGGATGACCGCCCCCCCCCTGAGATCTCGAGAACGAAGCAAGATAGCGACAAGCGGTAAACGGCATCGGATACGCACGGTCAAGATATACAATTTTTACTAAGGTCATTTTCAGGTCAGGTCAAAGATGACGTCACAGGGGTCGAAAAAGTCAAAATGGCGGCGCTGGATATGGATAGAGTTTTTCTCGAATAACTTTCGAATTAGTCAAGATAGGAACAAACTAAGGGCAGCATCGTGATCCTCTCGTCAATCCGCATCGAATGATATATATGTTGACCTCGAAAGGTCAAGGTCAAAGGTTGACCTCAGGTCACGTGACCTCGAGGTCATCATATATATCATTCGATGCGTCTTGACGAGCTGAACACAATGAGACCATCCACGCGTCTGTATCTTGTTCCTGTACGGAGTTATTGGCCAAAAACCTTTGGTGACCTTTGATGACGTCACATGACCTCACAGCTGCCCAACAGCAAAACAGACCTCAAGGTAGTGAAGGTTGATCGTATATGAAGTCATGTATGGTATATGGGGCCATTCCGACCCGTTTTAGTGGTAAAAACAGGGAGTTGATTTTTCCCCCATTGACTTATAATGGGGAGGTCGCGAAATTGACCTGACCTTAGGTCACCGATATAAAAATTCCGAGATATACAAATTGTAGCTACTAATGACCTAATAACATCCTGCGACTTTCAAAGGCCTCCGACATCTACTGTAGCTCTGGCACGGTACAAAGTTGCAAAAAAGTGACTTGAGGTTGGGTCATTTAAAGTGACCTGGTGACCTGACCTTGAAAGGTAGGAGGTTCAAACTTGCACACCATGTGTAAAATTGATGAGGGAATAGTCATACCAAATTTCGCGGCGCTACGCGCCGCGGTTTTCCCGCTATTCGCGAAAAACCTCAGGGGGGCGGATATCCGCCCCCCCCGTCGGTGCGCGGGTTAAAAATACTTCATCGGAAAACAACAAAGGCAACAGGAACTGGTACTTTTGCAAATTGTCGGGATACTTATGCATAAGTTTGCTTGCATAATGGTTTTATGGCGGATCGTTACTGTAAAATATGATGCATTTCCCCTTCCTACACATAACCAAGTACGTAAAGTGAAGTCTCTAAATTTAGGACATGATCCCGTCGGTGACGTCAGTTGACCTCTATAACGGGCAATGGCTGAGCCTGAAGGTCAACCTGCTCACGGCAAAATATTGGCACTGGCTCCTACCAGACCGCGATCACATCTTTTAAAGGTAAGGTCTATTTGCGTGACGTTAACGCCTAGTCCAGGCAATATATGATGAGATCGAATCCGAGTACAGCAGGCGAAATATGAAATTCATGGTTATGAGAGGCAGCACCTAACCCCAGTCGTGTCGTTTATCCGGTTGTATAATATAATCGGTAAACGTTGGATCGCTTAGCAGTAATGGCAAACCGACTTTGGGCTGCTGCTATGAAGACTTGTTTTACTACATTATTGCCGTTAGATGCTAAATTCACATACAATGTGATATGTGTATTGTGCATGCAGTATGCGGGGTACCTATACCACAATGTAAAAAAAAAACGAAGTGTTAACCCGCGCCCCGCTGGGGGGCAGAATCTGCCCCCTCCCGTTTTTCACCGATAACTTCTAAACGCGTTACGCCAGCAACGTCAATCTTACAGTACCTTATCATACATCAATTTGACACGTTCCCTGAAAATTGGAGCGAAATCCGTCGGAATTTTTTTGAGAAATTGACGTTTTAGTGACGTCATGTTCGCCATTTTCGCCTAAAAACGGCAAAATTTCAAACGCCGCTAACATCTTTAGTTTTGAAGGAATAAAGACGTAACAAAAAGGTTATACGTGATTCTACTTTGTCTATCAAATGGCTACCTCGGTTTTTTGAAAATTTTGGATTTTGGCCCAATTTAAAAAAAAAACTGATTTTTTTGGGAAAATTATTATAAAATCCAAAATTTTGAGTGAATCGAAAAACCCGGAATATATGTCAGAGAAGTGGTCTATGTGCACCTGCATACCAATTTTTAGAAGAATCGGTTTAAAAATGTGGGAGTTATTCAAAATTTTATGACGTCACGACACACAATTTTTTTTAAATGATTTTTTTTGAAGTTCTAGACCTCGCACGGAAACAAAAATAGCACCATTCGATTCGCTGTGAAAAACTGCATTAGATAGACACCTTTTTAAGCCTTAAAAACCAACTTCAAAATTTGACCTCACTTGACCTGACCTTGACCTGACCTCGACCTGAAATTCATCCAGAGGTGGTCAATATCACTTATTGAGTGTGCCTATTGAAATCTATGAGCAAAATGACCCATAAAACATATGTCGCACATGCCCTTTTCTATATTTTGTTTTTGGTGACCTGACCTGACCTGACCTTGACCTTGACCTTTGAATGACATTGTATGCAACGAATATTGTCTTGGTAGTCTAAGAACACGTTTTGGGCAATCAGTCTCAGTCCATTCTTCGGCAACTACGGTGCAAGGCCGATACTGTAGAAACTTGCATTTTGTACCCTTGGCCTGACCTTGACCTGACCTCTGACCTACTTAAGCAAAAAAATTGGGCTCTTAAGATCCGCCTTGTTGAGAGCTTTCGATTGCCGTTTTCCCCGTCTTTCTACGACCATCGGTTCGGAAGTTAGACCCCTGCTGCGTATGGCCCCTGCTGGGGGCCATACGCGCCCCCCCCCCCCCAGCAGGGCGCGTATGGCTGAATAGCCCAGCGGGGCGCGGGTTAACTCGTGACTATTGGACATGTAGCAATCAGTACCTATGATATTCATTCATGACACTTTCACTGATTTGGGATGAGCGCCAGTAAAACGATCATCACCGCCGCAGAACCAGTATAAGACACGCGTCATGAAAGGTTTTGGCTCCTCCTCGATCTCCAAGATTGCTAATGAGGCTCACCTTAATTACTGACCGGATAAACTTCACTTTGGGATGAAGAGCAGCAGCAACTTTGTCCAGACTTCCTGCAAAGAAAAACTAGTGTTAATAAGGTGCTCGATCAATATGGAAAGCCTGGTCAATAAGGGAAAACATTGGAAGGGGCGTTTCAAATGTGCAACTGTGAACTGACATTTGTGCAGGCCTCTGGCCCACCCTTTGATATCGAATGATATCACACTCATCGAGCCTGGCGGATATCAATCGGTCTTAAACGAAACACTGAGCTTACAAAACCAACAGGAACCGACAGAAATACGGCGCTAACGTGTATACCACAATTTGTCACCTGAGTGACTGAAACAAAGTGTCGGTGATTTGAACAAATAACAGGTGGAACACTGTTACAAAAGTAAATCATGCAAAAACGTTCCTCGGTACACCGGTGTGTGTAGTGCACTGTCTCCTTCTGCTTATGGCCATTTTAACCATTTACACAAAATCAAAATAATACCATTAATTCACTCTTCAGCTGATATCAAAAGATATACCCGACATACGGTAATAATTTAGCGGCTGATTACCTGACGCCGGCGCTTGCGTGCGTGACCTCTCAAAAATGAACACGACTCAAAGTGGCTGTCATGCGCAGGTAATGTCGCATCAAACATGCATCGCCCAATCGGGGAAGTCTATTGAATGGGGCTCTAGCGCAGCGCATGACGCCCAGCACCAGTCCTTGCAGCAGCGTCCCAGCACCAGCGACCTAGCACCAGCATGACTACGCCAGCTCCCCAGCACCAGCATCCAGCACCGCCGTCCTGTCAGTGTCTCTGGCGCCTTACAACTAGAGACTGCCACACCTCTCTACACTGGCCGACAAACCACTTCGCAAAACCGGCCGACCGCCGACCGTCAGTCAGCGACTGTCCTTTTCCAATGCTCCTACGCGCTAGCAAAGACGGTGCGAAAGTGATTCGGGGCTTTATTCTCACGAAAACAGCGTCTTTGGGTGAGGTGACAGCCCGATGAGGTATAACACGCGACAAGCGAATAACATGACATGGCGGCGGCGGGGAGGCGGACGGCAACGCGTGTGTCGCCAGACAGACCAGGCAGAAATGGGACACAGCGTTATCGCGGGCGCGCGTCCCCTAGCCTAAGTCACGTGACCGCGACGGACGTCTTGGCTGCGCAGCGGCCGCGCGCTGGTTCATTGCCCCTAGAGGGCCAAACAGAGAAGTCATGGTACCACAAAATTTTTCGCTCGTATATGATTGGAAAAAGCTCCTAGCTGCGCTAAACGCCGATTTTAGTGTGTCCGTCAGCGACTGATCAGTTTGGTGTCGACGTCTGGTCATTTGTCGAGTCATAAACGTCACCAATGATGCCACCCAAGCGGTGTCGGGTCTCACTCCACTGTGACTTGTACACGCACAGGACTTGGGCGATAAACAAACCGTTTTTGTTCTACGACTTCTCTTTTGCGCAGGCGCGCGGCCAAAGGGAGTTCCATCGGACTAGCGAGTGCCCATTCAGTGGATCGCCTGAGCGTCTCTGCAGTTGATCGTGGAAACTTTATGACGTCATAATGACGTGATCGTGGAGGTGATCGCGGCGGCCGAACGCCGGTCCGCGGAGAATCGGCTCCTCATCGCGCCGGCCGACCGACCTCGGGTCATAGAGATAGGCGGATTTCCGGAGTAAGCTGGTCATCTGGGGACCCGTGCTGGTGCGGTGTCCCGCAGGATACGGGGCGTCATCGGACGGCACACCGTCAGCGGCGTCATGGGCGGCATCATGACATCGTGGCGAACGGAATTATCGCCCATGTAGAATAAATGACGTCATCGGTTTTAATCGACGTGCTTAATTAAGTGTGAAATGTTGTTTGAGGCTGCTGATAAATCCAATGGCAAATAAAAGACAAAATGAAAGCAATTGATGATGTCACATTTATCATTTAGTTAATTCAAACCAGGTCCAGTTTCAGCGCTAAGCGCGATGTAGCGGCGGTGGGCCTCTCCATTAACACTGACAGCTAGTCTGCGCTGCCCGCCCCATCGACAAACGACGCCGGCATTCCTGAATCATTCATGTTGAGTGATGAACCGTTGAGAAATGTATGCATGAATGGAGACTAAGTGGGCTAGGATGTCCGCCGGTGGCCGCCGTGGCGGTGTGGCCGGCACCGATTCCCGGGTAGGCATTCACGGACAATTCGCCACCGTGCCCTGCATTGGGTGGTACATTGCAGCGATATGAGGCTGGCCATGACCACCGAAATCGATTCAGGTGCACCGGCAACCAGGCGGCAGTGCAGCCCGTGAATGCAATGCCGGGGCGACGCGTGACTGCCAGGGCGAATTAGCATTTCAGTTGAGTGGCTCGACACAATGAAGTGAAGCTTGGAACGGTGCAGTGAAAAGTGTGACTGGGTGTGCACTGCGCACGATGCAGCCGAATGGACTAGCTTGCAAAGTTCAGTCTGAAGTAGCAAATTGGTCTTCGTGGTGGCAAACCCACAAAAAAAAAAAAACATTTGATAAATACATGTCATGGCATTTGACAAGATTGATATAGATAGGCAAATTGAATTATAAGTGGAAAACAATGGGAACGTTTTTGGTTATATTACTTTAAGTTGGCTACACATGATTAAATGGTAATGCAGGAAAAGTGAAACTGAGCAGATTTACGGCTGAACTTATTTTGCACGATCTAAAAACTAGAAGTGCGAAGTGAGAAGCGACGGGTGTGAAGCATTGCTATTTGAATTTTAATATGTGCCGCAAACTATTTTGACAACTTTGATGTTTAGGCGAATTATTTACATTTTATTTTGTCTTTATGGCTTGAAAAAGATGTATATCGAAACACATGTGTAGCCAACTTAAAGTAATATAACCAAAAACGTTCCCATTGTTTTCCACTTATAATTCCATTTGACAAGCTTCAAAACATTCGTTTCATTGCTCTCACACTCTGCTATTGCATATCATATCGCTCTTCAAAAAGTAACAGACGAGGCCATTCAGATCTTACGGATCTGCCTTGATTGCGGGAAAAATATCCACCGTTATATGCATATTGCATACACAGCAAACCCGAATGTCTGGGGGACAAAATACTAAAAAAAAGTTTGGCTTCAAGTCAAAATCCACACTCCAACTGTTAATGTTTTCTGATAAGGAACAAAATCAATGAAATGTCTGGCAAAAAAGTTCCAAATATAATATGTCTCACTGAGCCTAGTAGTAACACTAATTCAAAGTCACATGAATTTAGACTTCAACCACAGCATGCAAGGTTCGTTTATACATATATCTCGAGCAATGCCGAAAACCAATCGGAATTTCTTTTGGCGCTCACCAATTGGGACGTCAGGGCAGAGCTGCCGGCCGATACATCCTCACTGACAGGCAAACTCCGCACCACGACGCCAGTGATGATGCATTGGCCGCATTCAGGGCCCAGTAATTGGAACGATGCCTCCTTCCCGCCGCGCTCCCGTGATGTGTCTGATTTGGACGCGCTACCGCAAACGCAGACGTCACATATTTGAACGTTTAAAACCACAAAAAGACTGGAAACCGCGGATAATGTGAGCTGGCATACGCCGAATCGCGATTCCGGCCAAACATGGTCTCGAGAAATATGCCACAGGTCAAAGGTCAGTTGGGTCAGAGTCATGAAATTTTTAGGTTAGATGTAATATTGATGATCTCGAGGGCACCGAAAGTTTCGGCGCGATCGGCCGCTTTTTGCGCGAGTAATTTGCGGAAAACCATGGGGTTTTATCCGACCCCTTCCCCCTCCCCCTCCCCACAAGTGCGATGGTTAATAAGGTTACGGTATGTATAATTTACGCTTGTCATCCTATTCCTAATGAATGTGTCTCAGAAAATATGCATCATATAAATCACGAAGTAAAATTATTCGCCTATACCTATTCGCCTATATTCGCCTATACCTATATCGTGCTGTTTGCCCTAGCGCTCCTCGAGTGGGGTGTTAAGATACTCTAATGTGAATATTCCGTGTTCAGGCAAGTTTCGGCAGCCAAACTAGGCGTTGTCTTGTGCAGGAGAAAGTGGCGAATTCGATAGGATATATTTCGGAGTGGAAAAGTGTGGAGAACATTGTTGATTTCCTACATTTATTTAGAATATCATTCCTTCAATATGGTGTCTGTAAGGGTTTTTTTGTAAAGGGCATTTTTGTGACCTTAGTAAGGTTGTGGCATACTTTCTGTTTGCCATCCCATTCCTAATAAAGGTGCCTTTCAGACGATATGCAACTTTAAGACCTCGCAAGATTAAAACCAACAGGACAGGACAATGAAATTGAGCTATACTTTCGGGCCTTGCTGAGCCCATTGAGTAATCACGCATGAGTGTGAACTTTGGGCGCATTTTTCCTAGTTTTGCTGTAGACATACAGATAAAACAATGCCATATATGAAAAATTCAGACATTTCTTAGCCCCACTGACACAAAAAACAAACAAAAATCCAAAAAAGATTTTTTGAATTAATAGGCGCTAGATCGGAAAAATCCCCACTGTGCATTGTGCTGCTGCCGTTCGAGAACTCACTTTTGATTGAAAACCGGTACATGCAATGCACACACTGGGTTGGGTATATGACGATATTGGCAGGTAAATACTGCCGGCATCGTTGGATGTGATGCTGAATCGACGAAGAAGCCATATGATTGCTGAGGACCGAAGCAAGACATTTAGCGAGCACATGTAACACAGGACGATCAAGAAGCGAAATCTACTGGTACACATCTTATACGTGCAGGGGTCGATATCGAGTCAGAAACGAGAAGCCGAGATCTAGCGACAGATTCCGAGCTAAGTCTATGGCGTGTGCGTGGCCCACGCAGACCAGAACAGCCGCTCACCCCTCATTGTGGCCGCGTCCCCATGGGGCACGGGGCGACCGCTGAGTGCGGGCCGTTTGCGCGACTCTGATGCCGACTCGACCACCTGTGTCCCGACGCACGAGACGCCGCCGCCGCTCGCCTCTCTGCGCCCCTGTGCGGGCCTCGTTAGATCCAGGTGTCTCCCGTCGATACCG